GTGCGTGCGTGCGTGTGTGTGCGTGTGTTTGGTCTCTCAGAGGCACATCAATTCATAATGAGCTGCTGTGAAGCTTTTTATAGGACTGGCCGACCGCTGCCTGAAATACATTAACCTTCTGTCTCCTGATCTCATATTAAATCCATGGTGGGAGTAGTTTTTGTTTTCAGTGAATACCTCAACATGGCTGATGCGATTTTGTCCGCTGGTGAAACACTGTCTGTGCAGATAACAATCCCCATATCCACCCACCTCCTCTGGGCAGCAGGGAACCTGTTCTCTGTCTCCTCATGTCTTATTCAGCCCTGTTATTGTGCAGCATCACTGCAGGTGGTGTACATGACAATCTGCCTGGCTCTGGGCTGGGGGAGCACCCGTGCATGCCGTGTGAAGCTGCAAACATTAGTCGACAGATCAATTAGTTGATAGGTATATATTTGGGTGTTCTGCGGACTGTTAAAACAAAACATTAAAAAACATTAGCTAGGACATTAAGACACTAGGGGGGACATGTAAACTATTTCCCAAAGAATAATCAAGAATAGAATCAATAGTTGCAGCCCTAATGCAGCGGGCTTTCGGGGTGTGGCTCTGGCAGACAGATTCATACCTCCAAAGATATATATACATTTATAAATAAACTAAATAAGTGTGGTGATACTGTTTCATATGAAAGTCTGGTAAGAACTGTGTGCAGTAGGCGTAGGCCGGTTGTTATGTAGAGGGGAAGTGACAGTGGCAGGTCTTCTACTTTTAGAGCTGCAAGGGAAGTTGTGTCACTGCTGCAAAGTCACAACCCTCGCATGATGAGAGTTTATCTGCCTCTTTGCCACTGTAGTTATCAGATATTGCGCCTGATACACTATCTTTAAATAGGAGGAAGTAACCTAATGTGTCACTTCTCTTCATCAACTTATAATTTGGTGAAGTAACAACACTTCTAATGCAGTACTTCTGAATAAAACTTTGGTACACACATTTAAACCAGTTAGCAGGACGATATATGTGCTGAAATAATGTTCACATATTTATGGCTGTGAATATTACCATTTTTGACATCTTTAACCGTAAGTCAGAACTGTTTTATGGTACAACTCAACTCTATGCATGTCTTCAAATGGTAGCAACTCACCCAAACATTTCATTTAGGCTTCAATGGTACTGTGTCAATACATAGGCCTATGCCACTATAATGAAATGTAGTGTTTTGTCATTGTATGACTGTTAAACTAATCATTACAAAAATATTGATTAATATAGGATATCCCAGTCTGCTCTCTAGTAACTCATGATTATGTACTGTAAAGTCCTCTATTAGAAATGATTAGGTATGTACTTCTTTCCAAATCATGAATTATCAAATTGTTCCTCAATCTTTCCTCCATAAACCTTGTTCTGATTCAATACATAGACCAAATGTAAAAGAAATGTACTGGCTGGCTTTGGATATATTCTACACATACAACATTACAGTAGCCATGTGGATTAAAGAGAACTAGTTTTTGCCCTTGAGAGATTCTCTGTCTCATGAAAGGAAGATAGACGTAATGGAAAATAAAATAAAACAGTCAGTATGTTGTTAAGGCGTCTGGGGGTCAGTCGTCTTGTCATTAAAGGACCCATGTGATGTTCTAATAGCTTGTTTGTGATGACGTCCTCCTGTGTGTCCTGGCTTCCCTGAGGCCAGGCAGAATGAATGGGCCTTCAGTACCTTAATTGAATAACTTCAACAGCCTGTTCCCAGAAAACAATTTGGCGAAAAAGGACACATTTTCAGCCAAGGCTATTAAATAAATAAATAATAATATGATGGTACCTGTAGTCCATACAGCTAAGAAATATCTCTCCGTGTTTCCTGCCTCCATGTTGCTTTTTTCACACTGCAAATCTGACCTGAATCTGAGCCTCTCAAGGTAAATCCCCACTCATATTGCACAAGAGGGAAACAAATGTCTAAATGTTTTCCAACACAAATCTACACATAAAGTTCCACAGTTTCATATAATTTTCTTTTTTATTGATAAGTCTATGAGGTTCACATAACAAACCACATTTTTCTTTAAAAAATAACATATTTATACTTTAAACATCGTACTTTACATCTCAATACATAAAGGTGTGTTTCTTTTGCACAGCAAAGATAAGACATTGATGTTTTAGGCAACATACCAACAAACATTAAGTACATGTAGTCAACATAATACTTCCACAACAGTGCAAAATAAAGTAAATGAACAGGCAGTAACAAGAGCGCCCTGACAGGAAAATTAAGGATGCCTGTTTAGACCCACTGAACCACTTAGGAAAATAACAAATCGTGCTTAAAAACTAAGTATTTTTGGATCATTAAGAGCATCTTTCAACAGAAAAACGCAATTTGCAAGAGAGAGTAAAGTTAGGTAAACAAGCTTGAGGATACACAAATCCTCTTAAATAAAAGAGATGGAATTAGTGCAGTGCGTCCTGGGCACACTTGGATTTGTGTCGTTTCCTCTCTCAAATGGGCATGCACTTGTTAATTGTTTTGTTCATAGGTTGACACAATATTAAGATATCGTTCAGTAGCCTTGTTGTGTGTCAATGTGCTGTTATTGTCCCAGAGCTTAAGTCGTGTATAGGCACCAGGTTGGACAAACACTCTCCAAAACAAGGACAGGGAAAATGTTTCTTGTGGAGACATGGCTCATCATAGGAGACTCGCCCAGAAATACCTTAACAATATTCAGGCGATTTCCTGCACCTTTACCTCCTCAAAGCCATTAGAGAGATGAGGGGGCTCCTGGTTGCTCTCTATGGAGGACTCGCTGCCCGTGCTCTCTCCAGAGAGAAGTCTGGTGACTCTGAGGTCAGCTTTCAGAGTCTGCAGGTCGTTTCCTATGCTCATCTCCCCCAAGTCATTAATAATCTGAGTCAATTCCTGTTTACCGTTAGCAACACAATCACCGTCCGTGTCCAGAATGTCCTCACACTCAAAGTGCATCGCTTTCTCCTCCTCCTCCTCCCCGACTAAGTCCTCTGTGATGGAGCCCAGTTTGGGTGCGCTCCGGCTGCGCTCCACCGGGGGTTTGTAGTAGCACTGTCCGTTCAGCAGCTTTCTGATGGGGACCAACGGGATGGTCTGTTCCCCTATGAGCTGCTGCTGCTGGTGTCTGGCATCGTCCCTTCGCTTTAGTCTTTTGAACTCAGCCAGGGCCGTGGCCGAGGTCTGGTACAGCAGCAGCGCCATAGCCTTTGCCTTTTCCGGCTTGGACACCAGCACTGCGTGACAGCGCAGCATCACGGCCTTGTGCTTCATTTCGTGCCTGTAAACCCAGGCGAAAATCTTGGGTAGCCTCGGGTCCGCGACGCAGTATGTTATCCGGTGTAGCAAGTACAAGTGTCCCGGCCTCCTGGCCTTGTCGTCCACATGCACCATCCGGATGCCCTGCGAGCTGATGGTCAGCCTCATCTTGGTGCCGTTTTTGCCCATTTCGCTTTTGCCCCAGATCTTGCTCACGGCAACGTCCGTACAGCCGTCCCCTTTGGACTGGATGGTAGTGGCATTCCCCAGGTATAGCACCGTGTATGTCGGGTCCTCGCTGGTGATCTTCACCTTTTTCCTCTTTGACTTGAACATGCTGCCCACCCTGTTGAGTGCGCTCTCGGGGCAGGACTTGGCGAAGGAGGTGAGCGCAGAGTAGTTGAGGCTCACCGCATAGCCCTTCTGCTTGGACTGCTTGTCTTCCTCGATCAGGTCGAACTTATTCTTCTTCCAAGGCAGCATTTTATTGCTGTTTCCAGTCAACAGCAACAAAGTCTACTGAGAGAAAGAAAATAATAAACTTTGTATTAACTGCTAAATCCAAGAAGTGTTTGAGCTACTCTATGAGAATTTAACTCAAATACATCGTACTTCATCTGTTCTGCCTCTAAAGAGCTCATGTCCAATTGTTGTGTCTCCCGTCCTCTCTCTTCGCTATTTTGAAACCAGTCTGCTCTGCTGATGAAGGACGAGCTTTCAGGACTATATACAGGGAGAAACCATTTCAGGGAGACTGTAGGGGGGGCTGAACCAAATGAGAATAAACATGGTTGTGTTTATTGATACTACATTCCCTTTTGCCCTTTTTTCAAAAATGACCGAAGCATACATTCGCTCTAACTAGATAAAATATACTATTTATATATATTTTTCGTTATAATTTTTTACATATTTTAGCATAACACGAGCCTATAACCAAATATTATTTTACAATGGGGAAACCTATATTTCGGCTATAAATATGCATAAAATAGGACACATATAAATATTTTGTTTTACAAAATCTCTCAAAATGTAAATTAGAATACTATAATGGTAATGGAAGAGTAAGCATAATACATATTTTAATTGTTTTAATTTTAACAAATTAAACACATTTTACCAATTATGTTTTCACTTAGAATTTGTTTGCATTAGGGTTTTGTGCATACAATAATAAGGTAATTCAGAGGAAATAAAAACACAGGCAAAGTAATGCTAAAGTCACACAATAAACAAACGAAGAAGGTTATGACATGCTGCTGTTTTATATCGCCATCTTCTGGTTCGCATCAGAAATGCATCTGTTAATCTGTGATGATGGGAGATAATTAATGTGTTACTTTGATCAACATTAACTTTTTATTTGTTGAATTCAATGTACTTTCTTGATGTGGATTGCATTATATTTATTTTATTTATTTGTATTATTATTTCGAAACTGACCGCAGTTAAGCATGAGGAACGTATATCGGTACTGTCCCGTTTTCTTCAGGGCACCTTTAAGAGCTGGACAAAAAAGTGGACTGTACCATATTTACGTCACTGTATATACTACAAATAAAGATAAAGGAGAGTTTTAATTCCGATTTTTTTATTGTTTATTTATCCAGATATTGTATGCAAATGCTTAAATAAAACATCTTAACAAATATATCCTAGTATTTGAAGTCAGGGTATGAGGCTCGATTGGTTTATCCCACTTCCGGTTCTGACGACAACAACGTTGTGCACATGGGGCACAGTAGCTAGTCGGAGATAGCATTTTCCACCTTCCCGATATCTTAATTTACAGCTTTGTTTGTTATATATTATATTACAGAACATCAGAAGTTAGTATGGGTAAGAAGAAAGTAGGAGGAGCAGGAGCACTGGGTCGAACTCTGATAAAGGAAAGGTTGAATGCAGGCCGAGGAAAAAAGAGAGGCGACTCATGGGTATGTCAGGGCAAAAACGAACTTATATTACACGTGCTTTATCAAATAATTTTGTATATGTTGCTGTTCGTGATATTTTATTAAGTTCACTGTCGGTGCTGTTTGAACTGCCACTCAACATGTGTGTTTCGGGTGAGCTCTCAATAGATCTGACTAACATGGGTAGTTGCTTGCGCCAAACTCCCTTGAGAAAATATTATTTTATCGCTGCTCTGAATATATTCAATGTAAAGTGCCACTATAAACAACTGTTCGTAATAAATATGCTCCTGTGAACAATTCGGCATGGAGATAAATTAGACATTATATTCCCTAACCTTGTCTGTTTGCTTGTTACTGTGGCCACATGCATAGTGTGCTCATGCTGCTGCTGTTATAAACACTTTTGAAGCTGCTCTATTTTCTGATGCTGTTGTCTGCTAGCTACTGTACCTGCCCGAAGCTTGTTTTCAGACTGCATTATGTTAATGTAATATCTTTCGTTACATGCGATTGTATGTAAGTATAGGGTCTGTTGGAAATGGTTTGACGTGTGCCTGCTACATTTCTACCTTTGCCTTTTTTTCTTTTTTTAATGACTCGCTTGGTTAAATCAATGTTAAATAAAGTGAGCAAACAAAAAACATCCTAAGTAATGTTAGGGCAGAACACCGTATACTTTTTTTTCTTAAGTACTCACTGTAATCCTTGACTATGTGAGGTTTGTTATTAATGAAGCCCTTATTTGACCCTTTGCAGATCCACACAAGTGAGCTGAATGATGGCTATGACTGGGGTCGGCTGAACCTGCAGTCGGTGACAGAACAGAGTTCAATGGATGATTTTCTGGCCACTGCAGAGTTGGCAGGAACGGAGTTTGTTGCAGGTTAGTAATACCTCACTAAACGTATGTGTTCTTCGGATGTGTGTTGTGGTCACAGACTGTCAATAATTTGTACTCAATAAGCATCGTACTTAGTACAATATATGCCATTCTAGACACAGTTGTTGTATTATTTCGAGCTGCACCCAGATTAAATAGTTAATTAAATGCCCTCAAACCAAATGTACAGTTGTTTAAATGGACTTATTGCTCATGTCACTTAGTCTTATTGAGCACATGCCTAGGCAGTCACAGTGTGCCTCACTGCTTAAGCCTCAGAGCTTCATTGATTAAATGTTTCTGGATTCAAGATTCATTGTCATGTTGATTCATTGAGTGCATAACAAAAAGTGTATCTCGAGCCGGTTTCTCAAACTTACCTACCCTACCCTACCTTTAACTGTCCCTGTGTTATCCACTGCTTCTTTGCCTTATGATGCCATTGATGTTTATTTCTTGCTTTATTTTCTTAGAGAAACTCAACATCAAGTTTGTGCCAGCGGAAGCAAGAGCAGGCTTAATAACATCTGAGGAGAGAATTAGGCTGAAGCAGCTTCATGAAGAAAACAAGCATTTCCTCAGAATTCCTCGACGGTACGTAGAACATTCTTCTACATTATTTTTAGGGATACCTTTAGCTTTTGTCATAATAACATGTTGTGATATCTCTCTCCCAATTTAAAGCCCCCACTGGGATGAAGACACCAGTGCTGAAGTACTTCAACAAGCGGAGAAAGACAGCTTCTTGGAGTGGAGACGAAAGCTTGCACAGTGTGTAATATTCTGATAACTCTGTCACATTTGCTCTAACAATTATTGTTTTTTTATAAACAGTAGTGTTGTGGTTTCATGTTTATTGTTTAAGAAATGGTGTACAAAAGCTGTCCATACAGCATGTGTTATATGTGGTTATATAACTATTTGATTATTAGATTGACCAATCTAACGTCAAGTGTTTCCCCTAAAGTCTCGAAGAGGAGCAGAAGCTATTTCTCACCCCATTTGAGAGGAACCTGGAGTTCTGGAGACAACTGTGGAGAGTGATCGAGAGGAGGTACAAAAACAAGAGCTGTGTACAACTGTTAGCTTTATTCTGTCTTCAATGAGGAATTTGTTTCACTTGTTTAAAACGTAAGGCACAACAGTTTTTGTTTTTTCTTGCAGTGACGTCGTTGTTCAGATTGTTGATGGCAGAAATCCTTTGCTGTTCAGAAGTTCTGACTTGGTAAGTGACTCTTAACTGTGACTAAATACGTTTTTCAATGACAGTTGTCTCTGCTTTAAGATACACATTCTAAATACTGGGTTTCTGTTCTTTTATACTTCTCTTGAAGAGTTTGATTTATTTTAAGCTGTTATCTTTCATGTTGATTTGTTTGTCTCTATCTCTTAAATTTGTACAAATTGTATACTCTAATAATTGAAATAAATTAAACAGACGGGAAATACTGTACAAAGGTGAACTAAACATATGACACTTTTCTGTTGTTGTGTTCCCAGGAGTTGTATGTAAAGGAAGTGTCAGAGCATAAGGTGAACATGGTGCTGGTGAATAAGGCCGACCTGCTGACCAGACAGCAGAGGCGAGCCTGGGCCACATACTTCCAGAAACAAGGGCTGAGGGCAGTGTTCTGGTCGGCCCTGGCTGAGAACGAGAGACTGGAGGCAGAGGAGAAGGTGAGGAGCTTTCAGAATATCTACCCTGAACGTCACCTGTTTATTTGAATGCATTCATTTACAATTATTGGGAGCAACTAATGGTGTAGATCCTTGTCTTGGGAAGCTCAATGTTATCAGTTTCTGTTTTTTTGTCATCACTGTTCAAATATCTTTGGGATTTTGAGTGACACAAAAAGCATTTAAGGGTTGCAGAGAAACTGTGATGGACACTTTAATTTAATCTAGAAAAAAAAATGCAGATTAATTGATAAAGTAATTTCAGCCTTAAACTCTGTATTAACATGCAAAACTTCTCATAGGGCCTTGAAGTGGAGGCTCTAGAGATTGAAGAGATTGAAGAGAGTGACGAAGAGGAAGACGGGCCAGACAATGAAAACTTTACCCAGAAAGGGGCTGCGGGAGAGGAGGAGATGAAGACAGCCGGTGAGGAGGAGGAGGATGATGAGGTAGAAGAGAGTGGTACAGATGAAGATCAGCGGGAAAAGATAACTGTACAGGCGGAGGACTGGAACACCTGCTCAGAAGATGAAGAAGAGGAAGACACTGCCGGTTCATCCAGTAAATCCGCCTTCCACAACTCAAGCCGCCTGCTGCATAAGGACGAGCTGCTGGCCATGTTTAAGTCTGTTCACAACGCAACCAGGTGCAGAGAAGGAGAACTGACAGTGGGACTGGTGAGTGAAATGTTTCAGACGAATTATCCACATTGGTGTGTGAACAAATATTTTTGTTCACGTCCCCGTAAGACCTTGAATCCTTTAAATTGCAGAGGCCATTAATTCATATATAAATGGTTGATTCTGTGAAGGAATTATTCGTTTAACAAATGCTGTAATAACGTCACCCTATGAGTTTTATGATTGACTATATCATTGACTATATGTATGAATTCAACAGGTTGGATATCCGAATGTGGGAAAGAGCTCCACAATCAACACCATCTTCAGGAACAAGAAGGTTTCCGTCTCAGCGACTCCTGGACACACGAAGCACTTTCAGGTACAAGACTAATATTTAAACCTATTAATATTAATTCAGTCATTCATTTAGAGAAAGTTTAATGACGGTTGTTTTGCCTTTCTTGTCTAACAGACTCTGTTTGTGGAGCCGGGCCTGTGCCTCTGTGACTGCCCGGGTCTGACCCTGCCCTCCTTTGTTTCTACTAAAGCTGAGATGATCTGCTCTGGCATCCTGCCCATCGACCAGATGAGAGATCACGTCCCTGCAATTTCACATATATCCTTTTTGTGATAGTGGCGCAGCACCTGCAGAATCCACTTGCAGCTTTTTCTTTGAGGAAACAAAGTGTTGATGAGCATTACATGTGCTATATGTTGAGCTTATAACAAATTCTCATGATGGGAATTGAGTTGGAACTCGCAGTAACTAAAGAAGTTAATTGGAAAATTGGTGTTTAAAAAAAAAAGCAAGATGTAGTTATTGTCTGGAGTATGTAGTGTATTAAAGTAGGTAATGTTCTGATGACAAAAACCTAGCGTACTTAGGGAGGGGTAAAATGTTCAAAATCTTCTATCATAATATAGCTAATTTAAAACACTGATATCTATATAAATCCCAATATAGCACGTTTTTGGGCTATTTAATGAATAAATAAATAATCTACTACATGAAATAACCTCATGGTGGAGCCTACTGTGTGAACAGTAATTTCTATTTACTGTGATGGAAACAAAAATTAAACAATATGTTGGTGTTTAGAATAATATACCTAGAATCTTCAACATCATGAAGCTCACAGTGTGTCCAACTTTAAGACTTTCTTTGGTTTTGTTAAAGTCCTTGACAGTTTTTTCACATATGTCAAGCAATCCCTCGGCATGTGTTAGAAGGAATCTACGGCTTCAACATCATCCGACCGCGAGAGGACGAAGACCCCGACCGGTTCCCCTCCTCTGAGGAGCTGCTCATGGCTTATGGATGTGAGACTCCCAGATATTCATTATGTTTTTATAGAGAATAAATAAACAACAGGCCAAGGCAGTGCTGTATGAAGATGAGCTGTGATAGTCACCCATGTACTTCATCTTTTCTATCAAATATTACAATTGATTTCATAGACTTGTGTTATTATAAACTCTGCAATTACATAAAATCAGAATAATAATTATAATTATGTTTCCCTCTGTTACAGACATGAGAGGCTTCATGACGGCGCATGGACAGCCTGATCAGTCCAGATCAGCCCGGTACATCCTGAAGGATTTTGTCAACGTAAGCTATTCTGTTGGTTGGTTTTTATCAACCTATCCAAATCTGTAGATGGTCTTTTTAAAAGCAACATGTAATGCCTAGAAGATAATAGTTCCAACATGAAACTGCTCACAACAATGTCTGTTGATGATGTTGAGTTATTGGGTTGCTGTTGAGTTTTTTAAATGTTTATTTTTGGCACTTTAAGCATCAAAAGCTTTCCATTTCCATTATGTTGAGAAGAAGGCGGATATCTTTATGCCTGATATCCCCAACACACTACAGCTCACCCAAAACCATCTATATTATTAAGTAGCACTACGGGTAAGAGAAAAACATATTTTGGTTGGGGTGAACTTTCCCTTTTGATTTACTGTTTGCCACATACATTTTACACCCACCTGCAGCATCACCTATAATAATTGTGATACCACTGAAATCTTCTGCTTTGTGTTTAAAAAAAGATACAGCCCTTGTTGGGACCAGTTTGCTGCAGAATGGAGTAGCTGTCTTGCATTATTGCAATTTTAAATATGTGCATCCTGAATTGACCCTTTTTCCTAACAATGTTGACTCCTTGCAGGGAAAGCTTCGGTACTGCCATCCTCCTCCACACATTAATCCTGAAGACTTCCAGCCGCAGCACAGCGAGTTCCTGAAAACAGACGTAGACTTCAGTGAATTCTCCTCCACATCAACGAGCCACAACAAAGTCAGGAGGATTGAAAATGTGGTTGACAAAAACTTCTTCCATCAGGTACAGCTCGTATACAGTCTTTGTGTTAGTAAGAAAATGCCTCCATATTGTGACGTGGAAAAAAAAAAGTGAAACTAATGGTTATTGATCTCCATCTCCAGGCAAATGTGCGGGCGCTCTCTAAGGGGGTTCAGTCTGTAATGGGCTACAAGCCCGGCTGCGGACCTGTCCCTGCGCCAAAACCTGGAACCGATGTGAGGGAGGGAAAACCCTGGAAAAAACACGGCAATAGGAACAAGAAGGAGAAAGTACGGCGTCTTAACAGGCATCTCGAGGCCTGACCACTTTTAATTACAGATCATTTCATTGGGAATGTAAAAACCCTTAACTGCAGTTCACATGATGTGATTCCAAAGGAATTAATGCTGAGCAGTATCTGACGGTAGATGAAGGCCCTTTAATTCTTTGAGTATGGAAATGTAAGACAGTCTATGTTAACTACTGAGATGCATAATCTGTTAAGAACATATTGGTGAAATGCATTCCATCATATGAACCAGTAGTTGTTTAACAGATCTCACCACAGTGTTTGGAAAGGGACTCAACATCACTTAAATTGGGATTTTACAAGAGATTGAACCAGATTTTTGTATTTCGAAGACATTTCAGAAACACTCATCACAAAGTCTTTATTACCCAAGTAAATGATTGTATATCTGATACTGCATTTATCCATATACAGTTGTGATAAATGTAACTCAAATAGTAAACCAAATAAATCAAATTGTTCATGTTTCAATTCTTTAATCATTTCCACAAGGTTATCTATTGAATGCTTCCCAGTGCAATATTTGGAAAATACTTCTTAACCTACAAGGGCTTATGGATTCATATTGGGGGTTAATCTATATTCACTGCAGTTTAGTAGTATACAAATGTTCACAAATAAGTATTTTAATATCCGCATTTAATGAAATGACTAACGTTAAAAGGATCATCTCTTGTGTTGAGTATTAAAGGTGGGGTAGGCACGTTTGAGAAACCGGCTCGAGATACACTTTGTGTTATATTCCATGGAATGCTCTTAACATCCCGATAGCAATGAATATCTTAAGTGCTTTGACAAAAATTCCATAAAGAAATTTCATCTGTGGAAGCCGTAGTACTGTAAAAAGCACGACCAATCATTTTAGCCGGCCCGGCTAAAATAACTGGATGGCCTACCTGTCTGTCAGCCTTCCATCTGTGCACAAACTTATCTCGTGCCCTCATTGGTCATGTGCGCGTTCGTGTGTTGGAGGAGGGGCTCTGTAAGGAAGTGGTAGTCTTTTTCCGTCTGTGTATTTTCAAATTCTAGAGCACTCGAGCTGGTTTCTCCAAAATTACCTACCCCACCTTAAGTTGACCTAAACTCATGAAATTAAAAAATGTGCAGAAGTGTTGAATTGATTGTTGGAAAATAAAAAGCTAACAAACCTGAAACATCTAGAGTTTATTTGTATGTTTTAGAGGTTATGTTTTTAATTTAGCACCCACATTAGCATATTGATGACAACAGGCCATGACTCTTCAAACACAAGCTAATGTTAAAAGGAAGAACTAGGATCACATAATATAATAATGACAGGTTGATCTCCAACTAAATGATAAACTCAAGCTTTGTTTGATTGGTCTTCCTAAAGTGATACTTCTGTAGGTACTTTTCCACAACCTCCAGTATTCTGTAAGGTGTCTATCAGCCAGGTGAACTCCTCCCCAAAATAAACAGGTCACTGTGCGTCAGGCGGCTGCATGGCTGAACAGGTGCTGCATGGATTATTTGTTTTCTAGTAACAGAAGATGTAAACCTATTTGAAATCAATATGGAACCGCGTATATTGACCGTAGACGGTCAGACAGGAGGAAATCCAAACTTTGTTCTCTTCAATTTGGTTGAATTTTGCGTCGATGCAGTCACCACCTGTTTCTCTCATGGCGCTGACAAACTTTGCGTCCCCATCGGCCTGAGCTCTCTATCTGCGCTGCTTCTACTGCTGTCATGCATTCTGTAAGTAATTATTGCACTTGTTCTAGTTATTTTAATGTTAAAATGTTCTACCATTAAAACCCTGTTAACTCTTTAAGGCTCGTGTATCAGAGGTGCACATTTCGCGGGAAAAATCCGGGAGAAAGCATCATTCTCCTCTACAGCCTCCTCGGTAACCTGTGTAGCACAAGTGGAGCCATTCTGTCCAGACAGCTTCATATTCAGGTAAAATACTTAAGTTACCATACATTTTAAGATATTTTCCATGCACTGGTGATAATAATAATGTGTTGCTCCCTTGTTTAGATTGTTTTGGGTGCTTTTGCTGCTGCTATGGATGGTATCGGTTTTATTTCTTGCTGCTTACCTGTACTCCTGTGCTGGAACTCAAAGGCAGGTACGTTAAGAGAAATGCCTAATCTCAACAATAATGCAAACTTTATCATTCCCAGACACTGTTCAGCATTCAAACAGAGTGGAGTAAGGTAGTACTAATACCCAGGCCCACACCTTTTAGGCAAAACAGTTAGGAGACTTATCAGAGAAACTCTACAGATAACCAAAGACATGAATAGACTGTGTTAGAACTGAGTCCAAATGCAAACATCTCCTCTTGTGTCTGTGTTCTTTCTCAGAAAAGAGGCTGAGGATGATAAGGGGGCGGAGGAGGCAGCACCTCCTGGCAGTGTGTGTACTGATGGTGGTTGCTGGTGGTTTTCTGAAGTCCAGGGACTCACACCACCCTGTAGACGGGCATCTCAGCGGGAGGAAGCTGCTGCATGCCACCTTCCAAGTAAGAACACACCACCATGCTGGCTAGTTGTAATTGTACAACCCATTGCACAGTGCAACTAACAATCATTTGTTGTGTGATTGTTTGTTACATTGTGAAACATCCCAGTTTCTCAAATATAATGTAATGTCATTAAATGTCTTGTTTTGTCAGTCCAAAACTCAGATATATTTACTTTATCATGATTTAAACTGACAAAGGTAGCATAACTCTGATATTTAGGGAGCAGATGGCAGTTTCTTCCATTTTTGCATGGAAGATTACTTTAACGATTTTGCAAATCGCAATAAACAATTATTGCAGCACTAGTGTATTTCCATATACAAATGAGTCATTCTACAGAAAAGGTGGAATCTGGGTGATACAAATCTGCTGAAATGCATTCCTTGTTACACATCTAAAACCTGTTGAATAGCAATAACTAACTTCTTAACTTGATGAATCCACAACAAGTAGAGCTTAAAGTATTTTTATACATTATACAAAGCTTATTTATATAGGAACGTCACTGGTGTTACTGGTGTTACCAGGAAGAAGAGTAACACCAGTGACAGTAACACCAGTGACAATTTGGAGAAAACACTACCATTTTAACATGTGTCAGACCACATGGCTTCAGTCAATATCAAAATTGTTTAACTCTTCAATGCAATACATTTCCCCGTTCAAATGTTCACCCCTAGGGCTATGAAATGTGTAACACTAATGACAGACTTAAAAGCTGCACGTAAAATTTGAAGATAAAATGACATCTTTAACAAACAAAGTAAGAAGTATCTGACTTACCCTATCCACTGCACTGCCTCAAATGATCTCTTGTTACAGGAAGCTCTTCAGAGACAGTACATTATTTCAAAAATAAAAGCGTTTTGTGTAGCAGTAACACCAATGACGTAATTTTGGGTGACTGACATTTATTTGATATTATTAATAATAATTTGCGTTTTTTTGACTTTCAGTGTTATATTTAATGTATGTTATGTAAATGTGACTGAGATTTATTTATTGAAAAATAAATCTTTTAAATGAAAACTATAGGCTCCACTTCCATGTATGATCAAAGTGACAAGGCAGTTCCTTGAACTTGGCATTTTAAATAAATTGCAATTTATTAATAAAACATATATTTATATATAACACGTATTTATTTAGTACCATTGCAAAGACAATCTCTATTTATTCAACATATATAATGAATGTGAGTATTACTGTAGGTCAACGTCATGTATTTTGGTGTCTGCAAAAGTAAGTGACAGTACTTCCACAATTTTTGTTAGGGATGCTCCGATCGCCAATTTTGGGGCCGATCGCCGGAATCAGTATCGGCCGATCGCCGATCGAGTGGGTGTGGGCAAGGCCGTATTAGTACCTCCAGGGGCCCCTGGGCACTGAGCTCAGGGCCCCTCAACCCACGTTCCAACACGTAACAACACGCCTACCCAACATGAACAATATTTTACATTGTCATTCAATCTGGAATGTCAATCGCACACCTATTTGTCAAAAGCAGGGACGCAGCTACATAGTTCAACCAAAGTAGGTCTAGCCTTTTGCCCTCTCAGTCAAAAATCACAAGACAAGTATACAATGGATAAGATCTCAAGACAGTGTATGGCTCAAGAAGACCTAGGTAATATCACTCAAAACTTCAGAGCTGTGTGTGTGTGTGTGTGTGTGTGTGTGTGTGTGTGTGTGTGTGTGTGTGTGTGTGTGTGTGTGTGTGTGTGTGTGTGTGTGTGTGTGTGTGTGTGTGTGTGTGTGTGTGTGTGTGTGTGTGTGTGTGTGTGTGTGTGTGTGTGTGTGTGTGTGTGTGTGTGTGTGTGTGTGTGTGTGTGTGTGTGTGTGTGTGTGTGTGTGTGTGTGTGTGTGTGTGTGTGTGTGTGTGTGTGTGTGTGTGTGTGTGTGTGTGTGTGTGTGTGTGTGTGTGTGTGTGTGTGTGTGTGTGTGTGTGTGTGTGTGTGTGTGTGTGTGTGTGTGTGTGTGTGTGTGTGTGTGTGTGTGTGTGTGTGTGTGTGTGTGTGTGTGTGTGTGTGTGTGATGGGAATTCCGGCCCTTCTTGGTGAGCCGGATCATTTGGCTCGGCTCCCAAACGGCTCTTCAGTTTACCACATATTATACCTTTATAATTCAATCAAATGTAGCCCTGTTTTGACTAATGATTTATATGTGTACACATATCACTTAAATTATTCAATACATCCTTTGTACTGAAGTATTCAAAAGTAAAAATTACATGTTTAATATCAATTATTTGCTGTGGCCAATTGTTTTCATTGCATTTACAGACCCTTGTATCTCTCTGATACCACCCAATGAATGCACAGACTTGCTTGTAGAACCACGCTACACAAAGCAGATAGCAACACCTACTGTATAACAAAACCCGAGGTGACAGGGCTTTCAGTGTTGCAGCTCCCAGACTGTGGAACAGCCTCCCAGTACATATCCGGACTGCTGAGTCTATTGAACTTTTTAAATCTGAGCTAAAAACTCACCTCTTTGCACTGGCTTTTAATACTAGTTGAAAATTACATTTTTACATTTGTATGTGTTTTTTTAAAAATATTTTTCTAGTTATTGTGCTTTTTATCATGTTTTTAATTATTGTTTTATTATTGTACTCCCATTGTGTTATTTAATATTTATTGCCTGTAAAGCTCTTTGGTCAACTGAAGGTTGTTTTAAATGTGCTATATAAATAAATAAAGATTGAGATTGAGATAAAAACTTAAGCATAGACATTTTAAAAAAGGGGCTACTGTATCGACATTTTAAAATTATATTTAAAGAAAAGGCCCTGACAAAACAGCAGGGCTCTATTTCAGTAGTAACTATAGAAAAAAAGACAGCAACAGCTGACATCAAATCTTTGCTGAGCCCAAGGATAATCATAAATAAATAACATAGTGAAAATAAATATATTGCAATGCTCAGTACAGCAGCATCCAACCGTCTCTAATCATAAAAAAACATAATAAAA